GTGCAATGAAACTGGAAATCAACAGAAAAAGAAATCACAAAAATTACTTAAACACATGGAAATTAAACAATACCCTTCTGAACAACCAATTTGTCACAGAGGAAAATAAGAAGAAATTAAATAGTATCTAAAATTAAATGATAATGCTGCTACAATACACCAGAACTTAAAGAATGCTCTGAAAGCCGTCCCATCAGGGAAATTTATAGCTATGAACTCACACATCAGGAAAACAAAATGAACTCAGATAAACAATGTAATGTTGAACCTCAAACTTCTAGAAAGCAAAAACCAAATTATATGCAAAGCTCATATGAGGGAGGAAATTATAAAGGTAAGAGCAGAAATTAATGCAGCAGAGACTAAGGAAACAATAAAAAGCATCAATGAATCAAAAAGTTGGTTCTTCAAAAGAATAAATAAAATTGATAAACCATTAGCCAATTTCTCCAAAAAGAGAAAATTTAAAGACCCAAATTCAAGCAATTAGGAATGAGAATTGGGAAAGCCCAACAGATCCTGCAGGAATCCAGAAGAGCATCAATACCTACCTCAAGAAAGCGCACTCTAGTAAAATGGAAAATGCAGAAGAAATGGACAAATTCCTTGACACATACAAACTGCCAAAACTGAATCAAGAAGATATAAATACTCTAAATAATCTGATATCAGTCAATGAAATTAAAAATATAATTAAAAATTTACAAAGAAAAGCCCAGGCTCTGATGATTTCACTGTTGAATTTTACAAAAAATATTTAGAGAACTAATGCCACTAATGTTGAAACTCTTTAATGAAACTGAAAGGGAAGCAATACTTCCAAAATCACTCCCAGAAGTAATTATTACCCTGATACAATAACCAGAGAAGAACACAGCCATAAAAGAAAACTACAGGCCAATACTGTAAAGAACATAGACAAAAAATCCTCAATAAGATAGTGGCAAACTGAATGCAGCAAATCATCAAGAAGATTATACATCATGACCAGGGATGCAGAGGTGGCTCAACATTAGCAAATCAATAAATATAATACACCATATTACCAGAACCAAAGACAAAAACCACATGATCAACTCAGTAGATGCAGAAAAAGCATTTGACAAAGTCTAATACCCATTCATGGTAAAAAAAAAAAAAAAAAATCTACAGAAAAATCAGAATATAGAGGCTTTATCTCAATCTGATAAAAGCCGTCTATGACAAACAAATGGCTAACATCATACTAAATGATCAAAAACTGGAAGTTTTCACTCTAAAACCAGGAAAAAGGTAAGGATGTCCACTGTCACCACCGCTATTCAATATAGTTCTGAAAACACTAGCCAGAACAGTTAGACAAAAGAAAGATATAAAAGGAAAAAAGGTAGGAAAGGAAGAAGTGAAATTATTGTTATTTACGGATGATATGATACTGTGCATAGAAGATCCCAAAAACTCCACCAAAATAGATTTCATAACCAGATTCAGTAGTGTAGCTGGATACAAAGTCACACTCAAAAATCAATAGCATTCTTGTACACAAACAACAAACTCACTGAGAGAGAAATTAGGGAAACCGTACCTTTCACAATAGCATCCAAAAAAATTAAATACTTAGGAATCAATCCAACAAAAGAAGTAAATAATCTCTACATTAAAAATTACAGTGCTCTGAAAAAGGAAATGAAAAATGATATCAGAAAATGGAAAAATATCCCTTGCTTATGAATAGGAAGAGCCAGCATAGTGACAATGGCTATATTCCCAAAATTGTTGTACAGATTTAATGCAATCCCAATCAAAATACCATTAGCATACCTCACAGAATAAGAGAAAACATTCATAAAATTCATTTGGAAACAGAAGAGACCTGATGGAGATCACTATGAAGTGGCTCTGAGTAGAATTTAATGTTAACCAGTTGGCTTTCCATGTTTACTTATGAGTTGTCCAAAGCTTAGGCACCTTGTCTGGAGACGAGAAACAGACTCATAGTAAGTAAATCTCTGTGTCTCTGATCACCGCTGAGGTCTCTATTGGCCTGTGAAGCTGTGATGCCTCAAAGGACAAGATAAAGCCACAGCTAAGGACGTCTGGCTCCAACCCCAATTAACTAAAAGGAGACTGCAGCTGCAGGCTCCACGCTGCTACAATCAGTGCCAACCTAAAGATAAGGTAGTTCTCCTGATTGGCATAATTTAAATGTACTACTTGGGAAAATTCTCCCAAGGTCCTGATATGATTCCTGCATTTTCTTCAATATTCCCCTCCTTTGTTTGAAAACCTAATAAATATGGGCTGACCAGAAAATATCTTTGTCTTAACCCAGAGAACCATGAATTCTGTTAGAGGGTATAGAACCTTCTGGGGCCCTGAAATCATTTCAATTATCTCATTTATTTAAGCCTTCCCTGTCCACTCGTTTGGATCATTGTGAGCCTGAGCAGCCCACAATAACTAAGGGATATTATCAACCAGATAGAGACCTAGAATAGAAAAGGCAATCCTGAGCAACAAAGGCAAGGTGGAGAACATCACTCTCTCTGACTTGAAATTATATTACAAAGCTACTGTGATAAAATCAGCATGATACTGGCAAAAAATCATACCTGGGGATTAGTGGAACAGCTTAGAAGATGTAGAAAACTGCAGACTACAAACACACTCAGCCACCTTATCTTCGTCAAAGGAGCCAAATGTGTTCACTGGAAGAGAGATAGCCTTTTTAATAAGTGGTGTTGGAAAAACTGGTTTTCCACGTGCCAAAGATTAAAACCAGACCATTTTTGTTCACAATGCGGTAAACTAAAATAAAACTGGAACAAAGATTTAAATATTAAAACAGGAACACTAAATCTACTAGAAGAGAAAGTGGATAACAATCTTGAAGACATAGGTATAGCCAGAGAGTTCATGAAAAGAACCCAGATTGCATGGGAAATACTTCAAAGAATCCACAACCGGATCTCATCTTATTGAAAAGCTTTTGCACATCAAAAGAAATCACCAGGGGCTGGGCATTTAGCACAGTACCTGCCCGGCAAGCGTGAGGTCACGAGTTTGATTCCTGGTACTGGAAAAATAGCAACAACAACAACAAAAGAAATCACCAATGGAGTGAAAAGACAACCCACAGACTGGGAAAAAAATTTAACCCTCAGACAAAGAACTTCTATCTCTAACATATAAAGAATTGAAAGCTGGGTGTGATGGTGCATGCCTGTGATCCCAGCACTTGAGAGGCTGAGGCAGAAGGAGTGTTGCAAGTTGGAGACCAGCCTGGGCTGCAAAGTGAGCTCAAGTCCAGCCTGAACTGCATAGCAAGACCCTGTCTCAAAAAGACAAAAAAAAAAAGAAAACAATCAGCTCCCCTACATTCAAAGACCCAATCCAAAAATGGGTATCTGAGATGAATACAAACTTCTCAGATGAAGAAATAAAAATGGCAAGTATGTATATATATATATATATATATATATATATATATATACAAAACTGTTGAGCATTACTCATCATTTGAGAAATGCAAATTAAAACAACACTGAGATTCCATCTCACCCCAGAAAGAATGGCTATCATCAAGAAATCAACTAACAACAAATGCTGTGGGGAAAAAGAAACACTTCTCCACTGTTGGTGGGAGTGCAGACTTGTGCAACCACTGTAGAAATAAATGTGGAGATTCCTCAAAATACTAGGATTACTGGTCCCTTTCAAACCAGCTATTTCCTTTTTGGGTATCTTCCCAGGAGAATTATAAGTATCATTCCACAGTGATATTTGTGCACCCATGTTTATACAGTACAGTTTGTAACAGCTAAATCTTGGAAACAACCCAAATGTTCATCAGCTGAGGAATGGATAAAAAAAAGATGTGGTATTTTTCTAAAATGGAGTACACTCAGCCATAAAGAAGGATAAACGAGACTTTTATAGGTTAATGGATGCAACTTGAGACCATACTCATAAGTGAAATAATCAGACTCACATGTGTAAATATCATATTATCTCCCTGGTGTGAGAAACTGAAAGAGTAAATAAGGTCCAAAATGTACATACAATAGATATTGTGAAATGGGAAGAAATTTTTCAAAAAGAGAGCACATCTATTATGGGGAAGATGGGACAAGAAAAACAGGAAAAGGGAGAAAATACAATACAGTTACACTTCTAGTTTCTCTTAGTGCATTGAAAAGAAAGTTTTGTGCTAATATCATGGAAGAATATTTTATGCCCAAATCTTGTACAATGAGTAACTACTTTAAAGATAACAGTACACAGAGTGTTAGCTATTGTTATTTGTCTATTATTTTGTTATGACTTTTTTCCTTTTTTCCATAAAAATAAAAAAAAAATCATTCATTTTGACCTTACCTTTTCTCTAAAGAATCTTACTGTGACTTACATCCATTCCCTGGGTGTTAGAATCAACCAATGATAAGGGAGAGAAAAGGCTTTGATATGGAGCTGAACAAAATGTTGAATTCTAAATCAAGAGCAGACCTGAAAAAAAATCACTGTTTTAAACTGGGACTAAGGGCTGGGGATTTAGGTCAGCGGCACAGTGCCTGCCTGGTAAGTGTGAGGTCATGAGTTCTACTCCTGGTACCAGAAAAAATAAATAAATAAAAATAATTCAAAAACTAAAAAAACATAAACTGGGACAAATTTGATGAATGAGAATAAGCTGTCTTTATGAGCCACAGGAGGGACTCAGTGTCAGCACTAGTAGGTGCTTTTACAATTTTTAAATAACTCCCTTGTTATGACCATGGCTGTCATATGCAGTGCAGGAGTTACTGACTCATCCCTATCTTTATAAAATATTTAGAAATATTTTTCCTGCCTCAGCTTGGTAGGGTCTTCCTAGGATCCTCAGGCTCCCAGTGTTGGAGTGGATGAAACTACAGCCAGCTGAACCTTGAGTATATATGCCATGGTGTTATAGACACTCAGCAATTGCATAGGACACTGCAGGTAAGAGATCTGTCCCATGTGAATGTGATTATTTTCTGCAGGCCTCTTCAAGTGGAGGTAGCAGTGAGGTTAATGAAGCCAGCTTCATTCCACTCCCTAATCACATTCCCAGCTGAGGATAAACAGCAACATGGAACTCAGAAAAGAACAGAGAAATCTACAGCAGCATTGTTCCAAATGGAGTCTGCATAGAGGAGTGGGTCTGAGAACTGCCTATTACTGGTTCATGGAAAGATAAGCACAGGGATAAAGAGAAAGAAATTATAATGTTTAGAAAAATGTGACAATAACAGGACATCTACTGGAACTAATAATAAAAAGTGTATTTCTGCTTTCTATGTCTTCATTTTCATTTTCCCAACATTCTATTACTTAGATTTCACTGTATTTTGTGTAACTATTGGTGTGCAACAAATTGGGCAAGGGTCCCATGACCAGTCTTTAAAGCAATGATTCACACATCAAAGACTTCTCAGTCTATTGATTGGACCCTAATGACGAACTTTTTAGCAAAAGCACTGCTTCTTTATAAATATGATCCTTTAAGTTTTTTTCCAGTTTGATTAATCTTAGTAAAACACTGAAATCCAAATGTAATCAAAACTTAGATGTGAAAACTTCAGGACTAAATAGGAAATTAATTAATTGGCAGTTGTTTAGCTTATGAGACATAAGGCTATTTAATGTTACTTCTTGACTGATTCACTGGTTCATAGGCTTCCGTTGAGCAAGACCACTCATTCAAATATCAAAGATCTATTTGTTTCATGTGCTACTACATTCCATAGGCAATACAAAATGTTATCAAAAGTCAAGATAGAGTACTTTAGTCTACATGAATGAAACAAAATATAATTGGGAATATGAATCAGAAGCTTAATTTTTTACAAAAACATATTTTTCTTTGTGTTTGTTCTATCCTTATAGTTTTATGCAAATTCTTACCATCCGATACAGACTCATGGTATTATTATTGAAGCTTTCAGTTCAAAATGCTTGCTTGCAAGTGTTTAATCTTACCAAAGAGATAAACATTCAGGTGCCCTGTAATAAGTTTTTCTTTTGATTTTATCTATTGACTTGTAAAATTCAGAGCAAGTAGATCCCCTGTGTTAGGCTTTTAAATTTACAAGCACCAGAGTTCAATCAATTCCAATTGTTAGAGTGGGACTAACATCTTTAGGTGAAAGAAAACATTACTTGATAACTCCTTTTATCTTCTTTAAGCTAAAAAAAAAGTGGCAATCTCATTCAAATGCCAACTTCCCAATGAGAAACACACATTTTATTCTTTATCTCCAGCATAAGGCAGAAAGAAAAGGAATTCAGGAGGCAGGAGAATATTACATTGTATCTGAACTTCTGATAGCTCTACACATCAGAGACCAATCATACCTTAGTGGATGCAGCATTAGCAACTGGAATAATTTTTAATCAAGAAGTTAACTCTTTATCATTTATAAGTGTTAAATATTTTTGCTACCTTTTCCCTGATTATAAAAGCAAGGCATGTTCACCATAGAACTGTGTAATAAGAAGGCAAGAATCATCTATAATTTTCTACATGTGGAAATAAGCATGATTCATATCTATGCATTCTTTTGCTTTTTCCTATCTGCATTCATATGTTTTTATGTATAGGTAAGATTATTATATATACATGTAGATATATATGTATATACCTTCGCATTTTGCTTACTATTGAAATAGATGCTTTCAAAGTCAATAAAATTGTGTGAAGAGTTAAATTTTTCAATGGTAGAGCACTTGCCTACCATGCATAAGGTCCTAGGTTCCATACCCAGCACCACACATTCACATACAATCATTTGAAAACATAATTTTCCATAGCTGCATAATATCACATAGTGAAGGGAGAAGGAAAAAAGAGCATAAAAGGAAAAAGTGGTAACAAAGCTTTTGTAAGTAAGAAGGAAAAGAAAGGTAAAAAAGAGAGGACAGAAATGGGAAAAAATAATCCAGGTATATCATGTACAGGTAAAAAATTCAATATGATGAATGTTATCATTATGTATCATTATTATGTATCATTTTAGAGATCTAAAATGTACCAATAAAATTAATTTAAAAATAAAGCTATAATGCATGTGAACACTCTCCTATTATTAAATCATTGTTTTGAATAGAAATCAAGACAATTGTTTCAGACTCAATCAGATGATTCAAGTTTTGGTTGGCTATGTTACTTATCAGTTATGGGACCTATGTCAAGTTACTTTGTCACTCTCAACTGTTAATTTCCCATCTATTAAAATTTTGTGATGATAATACAGGCTACTTAACAGGGCTGTGAAAGTAAACAAGGCGATGGACATGAAAGAGTTTAGCACAATGCTTGACTTTTCTCAGAGATGTTAATTATTTTGATATAGCTATGAACATTTTTAGTCACACAGTTTTGGACTAATTATTATTGTTGTCATTGTTCTTCATTTTAGACAAATGCCAAGAATACTAGAAATATATACAGAGTACATCATCTCACTGATTTATTTGGATTTTAAATGAGTGATGTATTGGATAATATGAGATTACAGAGATTAATTAGATATAATCAAAAATGGCTAACAGGAACATAGTAGAAGTTATAAGACAAACGGAGCTAATCTTTGAAAATTTACGTTACTTTCCCAAACCTAGTATTTTAGAGAACTCTAAAAAAACACAAAAATACAAAAACAGACATTCACTTTTACATTACATCTTTACATGTCTATACCTTTAGAAAAATCCACTGTACACTCATGACCATATGAATGTTTTGGCAAATAAAGTCCTGAAAGTCTGATAATAGTTTTGACCCTGTGGATATCCTAAAAGTACCTTGGGTTCCAAAGGGTCCAAGTCGGAGTGCTGAGGCTACCACACCACAGACTGTGGATGTCGTGTTTAAGAAACATCTATGTGCCAAGCATGGTGGCACAAGCCTGAAATTTCAGCACTTGAGAGACTGAGGCAGGAGGATTTCTTCATATTCAAGGCCAGCCTGAGCTACATAGTAAGTTCAAGTCCAACCTAAACTGCGTAGCAAAACCCTGTCTCAAAAAGATTAAAAATAAAAAAAGAAACATCTGTGCACATCCACCTGTGAAGTACACTTGGTGCTGGTCTGGCATGCAGTGTATAGGAAGCACTGGCTACTGCTTTTACAGAAGAAAAATAAAGTCATGGAAAATTTCCCCAGAGTAAGGAGAGAAAAGGACTCAGAATGGAACCTCACAGAAGTCTTTATTTTAAAGCATGCATTCCAATTTGGAGTACACCCAAGAGAAGCTATTGGACAATGGCTGGGCTTTATCGTAATATGTTAGATCACTCTAAGCAAGCTGGTAAAACAAAGTACAAGAGTTAATAAATGTAAAGCCTTCAATTTACAATAACAATATACAATATAACAACCATCACAAAATCAAACCCTCAATGTGATAATATCTCAACCTGAATTTTCTCACTTTTATGAAATGGGACACTGCTCTTGTTAGGAACTACATATTAGAAATGATACACAATTTCCAAAAACAAGATGATAGGAATTCAGTCTTATAAGAAGAATTCTTGGCCTTCAGGAAATCTTTAATATAATAAATTTTGTTGTTATTTTGAGCCCCCAATTTTTGGAGTAATTTGTTATGTGTGCAATGATAAATAGACAAGTAATACAACTGAGGATGGTACAGTTACAACATAATTGTTATTGGAATATTCACTTACAAATCTCCACAAAGTAAAACCACATATTTCATGATGTGTGTGAAGGTTTAAAATAACAAGAAAAAAGGAATATCAACTTTGGAATCAAGTTGGGCAATTTAAAATCTAGCACTTCACAGGCATATCCCAAAAGAAGCTATTTTAGTGGACTACAACTGTATGAAAAGCTACTCACCCTCATTTAATATCAGGGTAATTCAAATAAAAATCATAAAGAAATACAAATAAACACCCTGTCTTGGTTACTTTTCTCTCATTGCTGCGACAAAATATCTGATGCCCAAAATTAAGCAAGGAAAAGTTTATTTCACTTACAGTTTGTGGAGGTTTCAGTCCATACTTGGCAGATTACAAGGCAGAGTGGCACATGGCAGAGGGCTACAGCTCATGGCTGCAGAACACAGCAAAAGCAGCAAGCACACAAGGGAGGAATGGCCTCAAGCAGCCTCTTCCTCTCCCTTACATATGCAAACTATCTACCTCAAGGTGGGTGTAGCTCTCACACCCATAATCAATCAAACTCTAAAAGCCTGCCCCATGGCCACATGAGGCTTTGGGGGGACACACAGACACAAACCATAACATGCCCACCAGAAAGTCTAGAACAATAACACTAAGGGTTGGTACAGATGTGAACCAACTGGAACTCAGACACTGCAGAAGAGAATATGCAATCACTATGGTAAATTGTCTGTCAGTATGGGTGGTACTAGAGAATTTGTACGCGTTTTGGGCTATTAATTTATATATATATATATATTTGAATATCAAAGGCAATAAGGGACATGTCTATGATTCTCTAATAGCTCAGAGATAAAAATATTATATATATATTATATATATATAATATATATATATACTTTCTGTTGGTTTCCTTACTAGAAGTGGGATGGTTAGGTCATAGTGTATACACAAATTCTCTTATAAGACTACCAATCTAGGGTGGGATTAGGATCCTACCCATGGGTCTTCATTTAACCTTGATTGTATTTTAAAAGCCCTCACTCCCATTACAGGCAGGTTTCAGGGTAGGGCTTTAACACAGGAATACCGAGTGGATACGATTCAGTCGACAGCGTGTGGGAACACGTCTTGGGGTCTTCTCTCCTTCCTTTTCTTCTTTCTCATATTTGACGACATATGAAGTAAATAGATTTTATATATAAACATATTTTCCAGTAAAGTAACTATTTTTATACAACACTAATAATCCACAGCTATTTCTTTAGTTTAGCTGTGGGATAAGGGATGAACAAAGGGAAAGAAAGGAGCTCATACTCGGGCAGGAAATATTCCACATTAAAGGTGTAATTTCTTGGACAATATAGAGAAAATATTATATATCTACCCATTAATCTGTCTAAATTATCTATGTATCTATCTATCTGTCTATCTATCTGTCGTCACCTATCCATCTATCCATTCATCTACCTCAACCATATTTTCCAAAGTGGACCAGTCATTTTTCCATTTTTACAACTTTCCTTGGGAATCTACGAGTAATTCCAAATAAAGCATGCATTCATGCGAATGTTTTTGTTTCTG